GGTTCAAATGCCAGTAGTCCAGTTCAAAAGAACTTCTTTTCTTCTCCTGGGAGCTTGTGTACAGCTATTTTTTTCCCCTTTCTTTGTGCTCCTAGTTATGAGGGTATTTCTTGGCCTCTTGTGAAAGCTACTTTCTCTTTTTTGGTAGATAGCACTGATGCTGTGTGAGCTGCTGCAGTGTCAGATTAGGGCCTTGTATTTGGGGCATAGGAGGGGATCAGCTTTTGGTTTCTATTCCCAGCTCTACCATCAATTCATTCAGTGGCTGAGTCACTTTGTATGTCTCCATTTATACATCTCTGTGGTGGGAAGGAGACCAATGTCTGTGTCACGCATTAATATTGTTCCACTGTGCTGGCATACTAGCAGGCAGATGCTGTATTGCCTATGGTGCAAGGCAGGGCTCTGGCTGCAGAGAAAAGTTTCTGGTTCAGAGGAACTTCCTCCCCACACATACTGTTTTCTAGTTGAAATAGGGCAAATCTAAGAAAATATCTGTTTGACAGAAGATTTGCAAGGGACTCTCACAGCTACTGAGGTGTCAGGGCAGAAATGTAATCCCGCCTTGGGTTTTGCAGAAGCTCATCAAAGCCAAAGCTGAACTGACATCATGGGCTGGTACTCTCCAGTGAAAAAGAGATTATTTTTCTTGGAATACCCACAGGCTGCTGATCTTGGATCACCCTTTGCTTCTCTATTCTTTTTTTAGATTTCAAGTTATTTCACACAATGAGCTACTAAAGAGGACACGTAAGGGCACCTCCCCTGAAGCACTGGTTGCTCCAGAGCATCCCTTGGGAAATACAGGGTTTCTAAACTCCCAGCCTGCTGAAGTTGTCCTATGACAGCACCTGTGATGAAAAGGCCAGCTTTGGAGTACCAGCTGCCTGCTGTCACTCTGCATGGGCTGCAAAAAGGCAGCTGGCAGCTTTCCTGTTCAGTCTTCACCCACTTCTTTCCTGCCTGCCCTATTTCCAGGTTCTTAAAAAGACCGTGTGGGAGTAGCAGTATCTACAGACACTGAGAGCATCAGGATGGAGGAATCAAATGGAATAGCTGCTCCCCTAGTATCTAATCATATCACTGAGAGCGGCAGAGGTGTCCATTTTCACCTCAAACAGCCTGCAGAGGCAGCAGTCAGTCACATCTTTCCTGTGCCTGAAAGGTCTAGAAAGTACTAGGAGCACTGGAGGACTTGCAGCTTGGGTTGGAAAAGATCATGATCTGTAGATCAGCCTGGTCTTGAACACTGCCAGGGATGGGGCAGTTACAGCTTCTCTGGGCAACCTGTTCCAGTGACTCAACACCCTAACAGTGAAGAACTTTTTCCTTATATCTAACCTAATTCTCCGCTCTTTCAGTTTGAAACAGTTACCCCTTGTCCTGTCACTGCATGCTTTTGCAAAAAGTCCCTCCCCAGCTTTCTTGTAGGCCCCTTTAGGTACTGGAAGGCTGCTATAAGGTGTCCCCAGAGCCTTCTCTTCTCCAGGCTGAACAAGCCCAGCTCTCTCAGCCTGTCTCCGTAGAAGTGCTCCAGCCCTTGGATCACCTTTGTGGCCTCCTCTGGACTTGTTCCAACAGGTCTACGTTCTCATTGTGTTGAAGGCCTCAAAGCTGAATGCTGTACTCCAAGTGGGTACTTGAGTGAGAGCAGAACTGAAGGGCAGAATCACCTCCTTCAATGTGCTGCTCCTGCTCCTTTTGATGTAACCCAAGATATGGTTGGCTTTCTGAGGTGCAAGCACACACTGCCAGCTCATGTTCAGCTTCTTGTCAACCAAAGTAATCTGAAAGTGTTTAATATTTATAAATAGTGAGGATTTCTACCCTGCTTTAGCATTCATTATAGTTGAAATGATTCAAACCTCCAGCATAGGCAGAAAATGCCTTTAGCTTAAACTGAGCTACTATCTAGTAAAATATAATAATGAGATAAATAGAAGCTGTATAGATGAAATGCCCTGAGCATGCTTGAAAGATTTATTTCCTGGCTTCAGCTGGAGGGCTTTCTACTAGGAAGGATATGATTTTCTGTGTATGCATCCATATGGGAAAGAAAAAGTCCTACAGGTTTGAGGGGTATTTACACTTCTCAGGGGCATGCCACAGGGAAACCATTTCTTATTTTACATGGAACTGTTGTACGTACAGGTGCATTTCCTGTAAGAAAAAAAGATGTGAGTGCATGATTCACAGTCCTAAAGTAAAATTTGCCCTTCAGTTGTGATACATGAAGAGAGGCAAAGCCGGAATTCCTGAAGACTGAGCTGAGGAGTGTGGCCTTGAACCACAGACTGGGAGAGTTCGTATTTGAGCTCAGATAAGGAAAAGGCTGCTAGAGAGGATTCTGTAGCCAGACTCAGATAAAGGAGAAATACATAATAATAATTAAAAAATCACATATAATGTAGCTTCCGAGCAATATTTCTAGGGTCTCAAAAAGGAGAGAGCAGTAGTAATTTTATACTCTCATATCTCTTTGAGCTGTATGCCAGTATTCTCACATATCTCTTCTGTCTTTCTCAGTTGCTGTTCCTCTGTTGCTCCAAGGGTGCTTGCTCCAGAGGCTGGACATGGAAGGGAAGATTACGGAAGGAAATACCTGGGATTTTTCTCCTCTCCATTTCTAGGCAGAAGTGACAACGAACAAGCAGAGGAAGTGTCCTGTTGCTGACAGCCAGGAGGTAGAGCCGTTCTGCAGAGCTCTTTCTGAAAAATAGTTCTGATTCTGTTTTAGAGGGTGATGGCGCCTGTCTATGCTCCTTCATTTTCTTCTATCAGCTGCTGTTTTCTTAGAAATTATATAGAATTTCAGAAGAGTTTCCATCTCTTCATCCCCAAAACCCACTGAAAACGTGTTCCTTTGTTACTTCACAGGATTTTAAGTTTTCTCATAATTTTCTTTCATTTCTCAAGCCTGCAATGCACATCCCAAATGCTGCTTCTCCCTTGTCTCACTCTGAAACATATTGTTCACAGACCCTGCTGACATTACTTATTATACCAGCATAGTTAGTTAGGCTGATGTAGTCACATGCAGTTCTGGTGGGTGCAGTTCTTGTGTCCTCAACATAAAAAGGACATGGAACTGTTGGAACAAGTCCAGAGGAGGGCCACAAGGATGATCAGGGGACTGGAGCACCTCCTGTATGAAGACAGGCTGAGGAAGTTGGGGCTGTTCAGCCTGGAGAAGAGAAGGCTGTGTGGAGACCTCATAGCAGTCTTCCAGTATCTGAAGGGGGCTTATAGGGATGCTGGGGAGGGACTCTTCATTAGAGGCTGTAGTGATAGGACAAGGGGTAACGGGTTAAAACTTCAACAGGGGAAGTTTAGATTGGATATAAGGAGGAAATTCTTTCCTGTTAGGGTGGTGAGGCACTGGAATGGGTTGCCCAGGGAGGTTGTGAATGCTCCATCCCTGGCAGTGTTCAAGGCCAGGTTGGACGAAGCCTTGGGTGATATGGTTTAGTGTGAGGTGTCCCTGCCCATGGCAGGGGGGGTTGGAACTAGATGATCTTAAGGTCCTTTCCAACCCTAACTATTCTATGATTCTATTCTATGATTCTACATTAAGGAAGCCATTTATATCCACTGTGTTTGCTTGCTAGAGAACGTTTATTAAGGTGGTTTACTAAAATTAAGGGCTACTTCCTCAAGCCCTCCCTGCTGGTTGAAGTCTTTCCAGTAGGAGTTACACCACAATGTTTTGTCTTCAGTGGTTGACAGATCATTATCCCCTTATTATGGTGTAAGTAAGTTGCACCTTCTTGATGAAAATTGTCTTGATGTACATCACCTCAGTATTGCCATTCTAATGAGTAGATCCACCTCCTCCAGACAGCAACTCATCCTGTTCCAAGTGTCTTATGTGAGCTAAGTAGGAATAATCATCTTCTTGTGTCATCTGCTTTTCTTTCTCCCTCTCTCTAGTGAATGTTAAGCTAGTTTACTCCAGCTCCATAATTTCTGGACAGTATGAGTGAGCCTACTCTTAGCTTTAACTTTCATTCAGACCCATCCTAAATATGTTACAGTAAAAAGAGTACATAGCAAAAGAGTTAGTTAGCCACCTTCTGCTTGAATTACGCCTTTTGTTGTCTCCTTGGCATATAAAATACTGTCTTACATTCATACGCTGTAATGTGGGAGTAACCTGAGGCAGCCTGAGCACAGGAAAATCTGTATATGTAGGAAAAGAAAGGGAGTTGCCTTAAGCAGGACAACCTTATTTGACCCTCCTCCTTCCTTTACAGCTGGTGTTACTTGAAGCTGGGACAAAGAATGAGGGGACTCAGGCTAAGGCCAGATGTTGGCATGAGGCATATAGGAGCTGAACAGGTTTTCTCCGTGCCTTCCTGCTAGTGCCCATTAATTGTGAGCCACAGTGCCCTCTGTCATTCCAGCTCTTGATCCTCTCCCTTAATTCTTCTATTCATACCTTCTGAGCTGGAGTCTCCTTTCTTATGTGCCATTTTTACACCAGTGTAAATTCATGTTTGTGGATTTGCTCCTGGCTTACACTCACCTATAAAAGAAGAGAATTAGACTCATCACTTCTAGGCACCACATGGAGTATCCCCTATCCCTTGATTCTGCTAAATACTCCTTATTTTTTGTCATTCTGTTCAACACAGAGTAACCTGCTGTTATGTATTCCAGTGCTGTATTCCCACAAAGCACCCCTCAATGTTGCTGCTACAGCTGTGCCAGGGACAGTAGGTACCTGCAGTTTCCTACATGCTGGGCTGCTCTGGGGTAAACACTTCAGCGTTGTCTTCCGTCGGGCCAAGGTCAAGGAGACCTCTATCAGTAGCCTTGTCAGCACCACCTCTCCACACTCAGACTGGCTACTGTAGGTTGTCTTTAGGATTGCTTAATATTCCGTTTAGTATCATTGAAGAGCCAGTTAAGGATTTAGACCTTCCTGTTCTCTTCACTGGCCAAATGATCGAAAAGACCAACTGGTCTAAAGTGTGGCATTTTATGTTCTTAGTAAAGGACTGATTATATGAATCACAGTAGCAAAATGTTCTTGCAGAGCACATACCCCGCTCCCTGACTTTAGCGTCCAAGGGAAGCTGTATACCGTTCCAGACAAGGGTTTTACTTTAGACATGGGTTAGCACATAGCCCCCTGCATTACAGAGCAGTAGCTACTGAGCTAGGATCCAAAAGTGTCCTTAAATGAAGTTACTTGTGGCTCTTTATTGGACAAAAATAAATTCCAACTGGGCCATATAACAAATGAAACTCAAGTACAAAAATGTAATGATATTTATTCACACAGCTGCCAGCAAACTCACATGCACTATGAGTCATTCCAGATGTGGATAAAAACAAAGTCTGTCTGTGAAAGTAAGTTTCCTGATCCCGAGGAGACTTCGTTTGGGAGTGGAGCTGCACACTGACTTCAGCTGTACTCAGAACAGACAGGTTCTCCTTCAAAGGGGGAGGGGGAGAGGAAAAGCCATTTATTTATTCCTGAAAAGAAAGGAACTAGGAAATTGAAAAAGCTACTATACAGCTAGACATGTGTATTTTAAAGAGAAGGATGCTTTGGAAGACTTTACTGCTGCTGTTGTTCTATTACAGTGCTCATGCCACTGTGACCCACAAATGGAACAGAGGTAAGATTTAAATATGAAAAACTGTTTAGTAGAAAACTTTGAGTTTTTAGATTTGGTCTGAAATTATGTTACATTCTACATATACATACATATATTTATATATAGTACATATATAAATATATATATAATTTGTCCCTTCCAACTCTCGAATTCTTTTTCTCCTTTAAACAGGTCAGCTAAGTAATTATATAGACAAATAGAAAAATACACATGCATAAGTGCATAAAGGTAAAATGCTATATGTATTGTATTATAATATAAATAATATATGTTAAAAATATCCCAAGAACCAAGCCAACATTATTTTCTCAATTTTTTCTTTCTCATTCTTTCTCCCTTTTCTCCTGCATTAATAAAAATCATAGATGATGAAAGCTTAAAGCAAAAGCCTTTGCAGTCACAGGTGGCATAATCTTCTGTTCCACCAGGCAGATACCTCGTAACAGTAAACACAACAATGCCTGGATTTTGAAAGGTGCTTAGGAATGCCTACGATGTTACCCTGACAGACTAGCACATAGAACATAAGGAAAGTTATTAGGCTTCAGCTGCCAATATGACAATATGTAGTTGTGACATATTTGTATTCAAGTGTGTGGCAGTAACATATGAAATGTCTTGGGACTGTTGGATTGTATGGGAGATGCTTGCTTAAAAGATAGGGATGATGTCCTTTCCCTTTTTTGTTTTATTCTTTCCTCAGTATTTGGCATGGGTTCAGTAGCTGCTTGAAGTGGAAAAAGGAAACACCTCCCCAAAGATTTCTTTGGTTCTGATATTGAAATTCACTGAAATTCACTGAGGTCTGTTAAGACCTCAAGCATTCAGGTGCCCCGTCCCCACCCCAATTGCCCATGTCTTCCTCATTATAACTGTATAGCTGATTTCTTTCTAGTCTACAGTTTGGGTTTGGTTTTGATTTTACAGGGGAGGCGATGGCTGAATGAATCAATGAAGAGGTATGCAATTCTGCTAGGGCTGTATGAATGCTTAGTTGTTCCTTGCAGTTAGTGGGGCTCACTGTCAGGGCAATGGCCTGGGACTCAGAATGGCAGATTCTTTCCCCAGTGTATTCATCAGCCTCTTGGATGATACTGGATGAGTCATTATACCTGCATATATCTTACTTTTCTCTTACTGTATAATAGATGATAATGACACCCATTGTCATAATAAAATCTCTTAATTCTGCACATAAGTGCTCATATTTTCAGAGGTGACACATAAAAGGGTGATAAAATCAGAACTAAATCTGTATATACTAAAAAAAAAAAACCTACCTTTTGGAAGAATGAGGTTACCTTACCTCTGAAATGGAAAAAAAAAAGAAAAAGAAAAAGGTTCATTTCCATGGAATAATCTCTATGCAATTTAAGGATGTTCTTCAGTTTTGCTAACACACTTATTTTCATTAACAACACAACCCTCAAATGAATCCATGCAACTATTAAAGGCCAATTTAACTGCCATGAATATTTAAAGAAAAACATCAGAATTCTACTATGCCTTTTGGGAAAGCAGATTGTTTTCAATTTGGAAGCTCTAGAGTTTGGGTTTTGAGACTTCAGTGGGAAGAGAAGATTCATTCCCCTTTGTGATAAGGAATTCAGTTCTCACAAATACTGTATACAGACATTTGCTGAGGAGGAAACCACATTTTTTCTCCACAGCTGTTGGGACTATTCAGCTCCAAATATGTTTTAGAGGCATGACTCCTTCAATAATAGCTACTTCAGAGAACCTCCACTCCTCTAAACTATCTGTCAGCCCAACCAATACCATCCTAATTTGCAGTATTTAGAGGGCCAGAGCACTGTCCTAATTTTTGATTTGCTTAGAAACTTCAGGGGAAATTTGAGTACTGAGGCACGACACACCCTTCTGCACACTCAGAGCTCTTCCTCCCCTCCACAAATGACAACTGACTCTGGGTTAAACCTCAGTCATTTAGGCCTTATCCTACTCCTGATCTAAGTTTTGCAATAGAAAAGGAAAGACAGATCAGCACCTGGTCTAATGGAAATGAAAGACAGATCTGCATATGATCTCCATTTTTACTAGCAGTCCAGATTGTTTACAAACCAGTACGACAAAGGATCCTGCTTTAATTATCAACAGTGGTTGTTTGCAGCAGAAATAAACAGTCAATACCGGATAAAATATGGTCCATTTTTCATTGTTTTTTCACTAGGGGGCACTGGGGCAGCCTTGGATGCCCAGCCCTTGTAGCTAAGTATTGAAGCTTCGGCTCAAGAAAAAAGTCAGACATCAGGAAAGATGAACATACTTGTGCTGATTGGTGAGTGGGAACTCCAGGCTGCCATCTCCTTTTTCACTTTGCTTTTACAAGTGTCAATGAATGGAAATATATATATATATATATATATATATATATGTATAAAAGCATTTCTGGCAGGAAAATTGAGTGGTTTTGTTTTCCTTTTTGGCTTTTTGATTTTATTTTTTTTTTCTTTTTCCTCACCCACCCATCCATTTGTGTTATAAATACCACACACTTAAACCTGCCTAGATCCACCTGTGGACATTGGCTCAGAAGTCATATGCAAAGCTTGGTCTCTAGGATGGACGTGTTCAGAGTAATAAGGAAAAGATCCTGAATGGTGATGAAATAATTTGCTTGTCACCATCTCAGGTTTCCTTGATACTATTGTAGGATTAGCTGTGTGGCATTACACTCTCAGATTTTGTGAAGCACCTCTTTAGGGAGAAATGTTAGGTCTCTAATGAGTGATATTCCCTATGCAATGGTAAAGGTGAGGACAGATTAATTTCTGAAGGTCACAAATAAGAATCCCAGATCTTAAGAGATGTTTTTGCTGCAGAAACCAAGGAACAGATCCTGCTCTTTGTCAACAAAAATAAACAAAAATCTCTCATGCAGCTGTGGTAACTACACAAAGTGTCACTGCTTGCCACTCAGTTGCATTCATCAAACGAGTCTGATGAGCACCAGTGCATTGGAAAGCAGAAGTCAGCTTCAGATCTGCAATGTAAGAATTGCCTGCTTCTGCAGGAGAAACCTCTAAGGCAATCCTTATTAACATGTTTCACCTTAGCTAGCTGTAATTTATTTGCTGTAAGGGCTTCCTGATCCAAATAAATGGCACACAAACAGTAAGTACCATGCTTAACATGTTTGCTCAGGGAGCGAAGATGCATTTTGATTTTCTGCGTTGAAGACACGAAATAAGAAAGTAAAAATTTTCACCCTCGAGTGAGAAAATGATGTAATAGCTACATTAGCTCACTGAGGTTTCATGCTTTTGGGGAATGGTTGTACTATGCCTTTGAAACCTCAAAAACAGTTACTACAGTTGCATCCAGCCCTATCTGGTCCAAGTGCATTATTTTGTCTCTAGGGCTCTGTCAAAGTCAAATGGTTGTTCTAAAACATCAGAGGAACAGTTTGCTCTCCTTAGAGGCGTTCTGCAGAAGGAATTACTTGAAAGAACAGAAGGCCCATCCTCATAATTTCCCCACAGCAGTGCAAACTTTTAGTATTTGCTCTAGTGTTGTGGCAACTGAGTTTGTGAGTCTGATGGAGCAGCTGCTACATGAGCAACTTTTTCAGGGTTCTTCTGCTTGTGGGCTTAGCTACAGCAGGCTGGCAGGTCTCTGGTGCCAGGAGAGGGAGGACTATGTAGAAATGAGAGTTAGGCTGTTGCTAGAAAACCAGACAGTCTTTTTATAAGGAAGCTGTATTTAACCTATTCTATATTCTGTAATCATTTGCAGGTTGCTGGTGATCTTGCTGTGTGGGCAAAGGATGAATGCCTTGGAGACTAGGGCATATAGTGCATCCCCACACCTTGTGACCTTATTTGCCTCTCTTCTTCCCTCATTTCACATTGCATCCTTACAGCCAGGCACTCCCTTATTGAGCAACTTGTGGGATCCCACTGCTGACAATAACACTTGGTTTGGCATTTTTGGCTTGGACAGACAAGCAGAAGGAATACGACCTGAACACAGCATGTAATTACAACACAAATGGTCAAACACATATATACACGTATGTCCAGAGGGCCTCGAGTATACCAGGTTGTGGTCTTGTTAAAAAACACTTTGTCCTACACTGTAAATCATAGGAAGGAGGCATTAGAAGAATATTTTCTGCCCTTTAAGCAACCAGAAGAAAGCAAGGACAAAACTACATTTTCAAGCAGATCTGGAAAGTATGTGAGAATTAATGAATTAAGGATGTAACAAGGATATCTGCGTAGCACAATGACGTGTGGAGTAACGACCATAGACACAGGGCCAAGAAAAGCTGCCTGTCTTGCGCTTCACAGGACAGTGTAAGGACTCCAGCTGGTGTCCCTACAGGATGATAGTCACATGCATAGGATGTGCCCAAGAGAATGAGCTCTGCCTTTCAGCAGGGATCACCTGGTTGATCCCAGTACCACACTGATATGCTTACACTTCTTCTGGCTCTGACACCTCTGCCCTAAGCTTTACTGTGTAGCACAGACATGGCCCTCCTATTTCTAGTGGCAAATTCCTTGGGCATCAGCTGTGGTGACAGTCTGAAACTATTAAATAAAGAGCTATTGCAGAAAGAGCAGAGATAGAGGACTGAAGAAGGGGCTGAAAAGGGATTACGTATTAGTACCTGGGAAAACTGCTTGGTGTTAAGAAAGGTAGCTAGAAGGTAAAAGTCTCTTAAAGGATTTAACCTGTGTAGGATAAATATCCAATAGGGTAAGGCTGCAACTGTAATCAAAATCCTTTTCAGCATGTCCTGATTCCCCAGATACTTCTTTGAGGGCAGACTTAATTAATTTAACCTGCATGGAGGATGATCCCTAAATCAGAATTCACAGTGGACACCTGAAACTGAAAGATGTAAAGGATTCTTTAAAAAAAAAAAATCAAATATTCTAATCTCTTCTAGGGCAATGATGCCAAACTGATGAGATCAGAAAGAGGATAGATTATAGAAGCTTCTACAGTTTAGTTTAGATCACAGATGGGTA